TTAGTTCCATTCAACCAGAAAAAAAATGTCCTTTAGTATTACTTGTAGTGCTGTCTGCTTGAAATAATTTTCTCAGATCTCATTCATCTGAAAATATCTTTATTCACCATATTTTTGGAAGATAATTTCCCTGGATATAGAATTAAAGATTAATAGCTTTTTTTTTTTTTTCTTTTAGCACCTCAAATACCTTACTGGTATTTAATGTCTTCTGGTGTCCATTGTTTCTGATGAAAAGTATGTCTTCATTCGTATTATTGTTGTTCTATACATAATACATCTTCCCCTCCATCCCAAGGCTGATTTGAAGATTTTCCTATTTTGGAATCTGATATGTGTGACTCAGTGTGACTCTGATATGCCTAAATATGATTTTCTTTGTATTTATCTTGCTTACTGATATCTATCCTTCTTGAAACTGTAAGTCAAAGTTTTTCATCCACCAGTTTTTAAAACTGTGCTATTGCCTTATTATACTCTTTATTCCTTTTGGAGATTATATATATATATAAACTGTGAAATATTGTTCATTTCATGGGTCATTCTGTTCATTCTTCTGTGGTCACTTTATATCTCTGTTCTTGAAATCATATAATTTTTGTTGATCTGTTGTCTGAACTTTCCTAAATTGATGTGATTCAATCTCCGAACTGTTTCCTCTAAGTATCTTGTCAGGGCTTTATTAAAATGGGTTTGGAGTTGGCCTATGGTTGTATAGCCCAGTCCTCAGGCAAATACTTTTGGGGAACCCTCATGGACTTCTTGAACTCCACAGACCCCTTTTTTTAATGCCCTTCCCCACAGACTCCAACACTTTCAAAAGTTCAAAACTCTGAGTCTCTTCCTCATTAGAGAGATTGCCATATTATGATTGAACTCAGGGTCACTACACCGTAGCTGGGAAATTGTTCCTCCACAGAGATCCAGGGCAACTATGGGACTCACCTTGTTTGTTTCCTCTTAAGAACTATAGCCCATTGATATGGTCATCTTTTGTAGATATTTAATCCTAAAATGTGTTTATATTCCTATTTAGACATACTGTGCCTATTCCAACAACACTCTTTTCTTATTCTTGAACTGTTGCCTTTAGCTGTCTCTCTGACATTCCAATTCTGCCTTCACGTTCTGGCTTTTAATACATTCTCTAGGCTCCTTGGTTTTGTGATCACTTCATGTTCTCTTTTCTGGACTATTAAACTCTGTTTCCTTTTAGACTTCAGTCACCTGATGTGGAAGTTTTCTTATTTGTTGTATGCCACTGAGATTTTTATGATTATTCGTTATGTAGCATTATTCTAGCAATAGTTGACTGAGACAATAAGCTAGAATCAAATAATGGAAATGCTTACTTAGGAAAATATAATAATATAGCAGTCAATAGTCCACTTCCGCTACTAGACAGCCAGAGTTCCATATCCAGCTCTATTGGTTTTAATCACCTGGATTTTGGCCAAATTAATTACACTGTGCGTCACTTTCTTCAAATGTAAAATAAGAACAATTACAGGGTATTTTTAAGGATTAAACAAGCTGATCACTTAATGTTTGACAGCACAATAGCTGGTACATACTAGGTACTTAATTAATATTTACATCATTATTCAGTAACAGAATGAAGAGTTCAGATTTCACTCAGCTCGCCAGTGTTTTTTTAAGTATACTTCCATGAAATATGGTTGCTGCGTCAGCTGAGGTGCTAGATTTCTTTTTTTTTTTAATTTTTTATTTCAGCATATTATAGGGGTACAAATGTTTGGGTTACATATATTGTCTTTGCCCACCCCAGTCAGAGCTTCAAGTGTGTCCATCCTTCAGAAGGTATGAATATACCTATCCCCACCTCCCCGCTCCCACCTGCCCAACACCCAATGAATGTTACAACTATATGTGCACGTAAGTGTTGATCGATTAACACCAATTTCATGGTAAGTACATGTGGTGCTTGTTTTTCTGTTCTTGTGATATTTCACTTAGTAGAATGGGTTCCAGCTCTATCCAGGATAATACAAGAGGTGCTAGATCGTCATCGTTTTTTGTGGCTGAGTACTACTCCATGGTATACATATACTACATTTTATTAATCTACTCATATATTAATGGGCACTTGGGTTGTTTCCACATCTTTGCAATTGTGAATTGTGCTGCTATAAACATTTGAGCGCAGATGTCTTTTTTATAGAATGTCTTTTTTTCCTTTGGGTAGATGCCCAGTAATGGGATTGTTGGATCAAATGGTAGTTCTACTTGTAGCTCCTTGAGGTGTCTCCATATCACTTTTCACAGGTTGCACTTAGTTTGCGGTCCCACCAGCAGTGGATGAGTGTTCTTATCTCTCTGGATCTACATCAACATTTATTGTTTTGGGACTTTTTGATAAAAGCCATTCTCATTGGAGTTAAGTGATATCTCGTTGTGGTTTTGATTTGCATTTCCCTGATGATTAGATATGTTGAGCATTTTTTCATATGTTTGTTGGCCATTAGTCTATCTTCTTTTGAAAATTTTCTGTTCATGTCCTTTTTAATAAATTAAAATAATGTTGGTATTTTCTTAGTGTGCAGATAAATTTAAATAATTTGATATAAATTTCTCATTCTAAGAAATTTTCTCCCGCTTATGTTTTTAAATCTCTAGTGCTCAGTACAACTTGTTTACAAGCCAACTGATAAGTAAATGAACTAGTATACTAAAATTAATAGAAAAATTCAGAAACAACCAGTATATTTGAGAGCTTGTATTTTAACTAGATATGTGTGCCCAAAATTGCCGTTATACTCACAAGCAAAACACAATATTTTGCCTTAGGAAAATTGTCCCTCATTCCTATGACAGATTTGAATATATTATTATGTCATGATGTTTTACAAACAATATGGTATTCTACAAAGAACACAATAACTTCCAGGTGCTTTGCCTGATTAAAATCACTGTTGATGAGGACTAAGTATCTTGGAAGAATCTATTTGTTTTTTGTTTGTTTGTATTTCAAGAGCGATTTGATCTTGAAAAGTTGACCCTGGCAGTAACATACAGGGTTTAATTGAAGGTAGATGGGGCCAGGTGCCAAGAAGGCTAGTATATAGCCCCATCAATATAAAAATGATTAGCTATTAATATTACAAGGAGGAAGCAGAAAGAAGTGGATTAATGGAAAGACATTAGGGAAGCAGACAGGATATGAGAACATCTGTATGTAGGAAGTGAAGGGAAGGAAAGAGATTCTTTAATTTTAGTGTAAATGAAAATCACCTTGAGAACTTATTTAAAATGTATATATAATCCATGTACCCATTCTCCATAATTCTGTTCCTAAACTTCTGGAATAGTGCCCCAGAATCTGCAATTTTAACAAATTCTATTTCTGATTCTGTTGAAGGTGAGTGGAAGTCAAATTTTGAGAAACATTAGAACATGGCTTTCTCTAATCATTTAGAAACATTAGTTTGACTCTGAGATTTCAGAATCATTTAAGGATTGCTGCAGATGGGAAGTTGAAGGTAACAAATGATGCCAAGGTTTTATGCCTGAGTAGTTGACAGTAATAATGCCTTCAAGCAAAGTAAAGATCACAATGGCAAAATCACATTTTAGAAGGAAAGAAATATAATGCACATTTTTTTCTTTTTTCTTTCTTTCCTTTCTTTCTTTCACAAATTGCATGTTGGTCTTTCTTGGGAGGTGGGGGAGAGTGGCATTAAATACTAATTCTCTTCCATGAATGGTCTGGAATGAAGTTCTGAGTAAGGAAGATGGGAAATCAAAGGAGCCACTTTATTACTGATAAATGCCTGTTGGAAGCTGACACTAGTATGTGTCAAGAATGGGCTTCATCACACTGGAGCTCAACATTAAGGGGCCAAATCCCTGCAATTCTATAAGGCAGAAGCAACTGCGTCACCTTAATCCCTGTTCACCCTACCAAAAGTAGCAATTAACAAAATTTGTAGTGTAGATTTTTGTACACTTCATTTATAACACACACTTCAGAATTCAAAATTAGTATGATTATTGTTGTTGAACCTAAGTTCTATGAGGGCAGGAATCAAGTCTTATATGTTCACTATCTAATACTCAAAATTTAGCAGTGCTAAACAAAGAGTAGGAACTCTAAATGGTCTGTTGAAATGAATAAGTTTTAAATAAGATGGCATATGCTAACTTTGGCTTCTGGTCAGATGTTTTCTTGTTTGTTAATATCTGCTTAAACTGATGTTCCCTGCTACTGAAGTCCAAGTTAAACAGGCAAGGAAGACTTTATTCAAGAACACCACAATAGGGGAGAGGGGTCTGAACTCTGACTGAGCACACCTCTAAAAGTAGCAAAGTGCTAGAGAGTTTTTAAGAGCTGGGTTGGGGATAATCATAGGCCATTGCTAATTGATTTTACCCAAAGGAAAAGTAAACTTCCTTTTATCTTCATGACAGGTTTTTCACAACTTGAAGAAGCCTAGTGAGGTTAGGCTCCTATCCTTCCACAGAAAATGGGAAATAGTCCTTGCTAATTACATTTCAAAGGGATGGTTCCCTCTTCTGTGAGAAAGGCAGCTTTGAGTTATAAAACTGTAAAAAAGCTTTTTAAAAGGTTTACATCTCAAAGGGGCAGAGAAATAATTTACAATTACAAATTTTCTAAAGTACATGCTGTAAGAAAAGGGAGGTCAAAGGCCTAGAGTCAGAAAAAAAGCCTGTTTAAAATTTGTAATCAAGCTGAGGGATACTAAGCCTGTCTTGCTTACTCATTAGATGTGTTTTTGCAGTTTTGCAACAAGGAATTCAAATTATGAGCTTCCTACTATCTCTCATGGTTCCAGCATGCAATGAGTTGCTGCACACTTTACACAATTCTTTTTTGTCCAGGTGTTTTCTTACCTGTTATCCTTCATAGACAATTCCTTACTAGCCTCCACAGAGCTCACGTCCTTACGTCTTCCTCCAGAACGCGTGCGCATAAGCCCCGAGCTTCTGACGTCACTGAGCGCGCCTCCCCACCCCCCCACATGTTGGCAACCGAAAGCGTCCGTAGCAGCAGTGGCTGCTGAGATGTACGAACTTCCGGTTCTCCCAGTAGCTGCCGCTGCTGTCTCTGCCACCTGCCACGGCTGGGCCTCAGCCTGGGTTTGGTCACCTCTTCTTCGTTCTTCACCGCGCCCATGGTCCCTCCGGGAGCCAGGGCGGCGGGCCCGGCGGCTCCCGCGTGGTGAGAGAGCGGTCCGGGGACGATGAAGGCCCCGCACTGCTGCTGCTGTCTCATCCACTTCCTGGCCCCGGTCTTTCTCCTGCTGCTGCTGCCAGGGCTGAGCGGACCTCTTGTGGTACTGCTACGGGCGGCCGATGCCGCGCCGGGCCCTGGGCCTCCAGACCCTGGGTCGCGAACACAACCGTCCCTACCGCGGGGCCCCACCGCTGCCCAACAGCCGGGCCGTGCTTCGGCTGAAGCTGCAGGGCCACAGGGCTCAGAGGCCGGCAATGGCAGCAGCCCCGGGGCGGGACTTATGGCGGATGATCACGGAGGGAAGGCCGTGGAAGGCTTACTGGGTGGCGGCCTCGCTGTGAGCCCCAACCTTGGCGACAAGCCCATGACCCAGCGGGCCCTGACTGTGTTGATGGTAGTGAGCGGCGCGGTGCTGGTGTACTTCGTGGTCAGGACGGTCAGGTGAGGCGAAGCCTCGATGGGGCTCCCCTGTGGGCCTGAGATGGGCTGGCCAGTCAACTCCTCCAGCAAGGCCGGTTTGTGTGTCCCTGCGTCGCTCCCTCCCCTCCCCCACCATCAAGCGCTCCTGCCTGAGAGTGAGAATGCAACTTTGACCGTCTTCATGGCCTGTTACTTTTGGGGATCTCTCCAAGTAATTGCTGCCTTGATTTATAAATTAGTACCCAACTTCCATGTTTCTTTATCTTGCCTGAAACCTGCCTTACCCTCAAAGGGCACCCTTTGTCAGAAGTGGTAGTAATCTTTTATTCCCTTGAATTTCCACTACTCTATCTTGTAAACTTCTCCCTTTCTATTTTGTATATTTTTGTGTACCTAACGTGTCAAATTTTGCCTATCAGTATGCAAACTTTTTAAGGGCAGGATACTTACTTAGTAGATTTGTAAGTCATAGAGTTCTTTGTACAGTGCTGCCACTGAATAGAAAATCAATATTTATTTGAGTGGAGTAGTACAGAATGGACTTATTATGGATATTTTATTTTTATAAAATTTAGGAGAAGAAAAATTCTTCCTTACCATCAGTGTTTCATACTATAGGCCTTTAATCTGCCACCTAAGTAATTAGGTTGTACCTAATTAGTTAAGGACCACCTCTCTGAAGAGTTGACATATAGAGCCAAGACCTCACCATTAGAAGAAGATAGCCAAGAGAAGTGCTGAGGGAAAGCTATCTAGTAGTTTCCTCCATTATAAAATAAGAATAGAGGGTAGGTTTGCAGGATTGTATTGGTTTATGGTTTTTCAAAGTACTTCACATTTTTTCCTGTAATTATCCTTTCTATTGTAATTTATTTCTTTAAATTGATCATTTAAAGTAAAAGTTTCCTTCTAAACAAATCATTATTATCATGAATGGAAAACCAACATGACTTGACTTAAATCACTAATTAAAAAAGTAATGCATAAACCAGTGGTTCTTGACATGTGGTCCAGGGAACACTGAGGGTGAGACTTTCTCTTAGACCTCTTTAGCAGATCTACAGTATCAAAACTATTTTCAAAAGAATACATTCTTTTACAAGTTTATAGGGTACAAAAAGTTCATTGATATCTTTTTTGGATTCCACATTGCAACTAACCTTTAAAAAACTACCTCTTGTCAAAATTTGGTGTAGTATCAAAAAAGAAT